CTCCCTGCTCACTGCATTCCTCCGCTCCTTCCTCTGTCTCTGCTCACCACCCTGCTTTTCACTGCATCCCTCCTTCCACTGGAGCTCACAAATCTCTCCCGACTCCCTGATTCCTCTGCACTGCCCCATTCTCCATGCTGCACATCCACTGCTCCCTGCATCCCCCTTTACTTGCCCCCTCACATATGCCTGTTTTCCCATCAATCCCCTCTTGCCCTACCGCCTCTTCAACCCCCTTGTGAGCCCAATCCCCCCATGTGTCACTGTCCCAGCCCTCAGTACAGTGCAAGCTGGTTTCACACACACCGCAAACAATGGGAGTTGGCAACAACTTTCCTGGCCACAGGGCTGGGAATCACAGCCAGTTCAGCTGGGAGCAGCCTGGGGCAAAATCCTCCCCCTGCAAACAGGAAGTAATCAGGGGCATTGCTTCCGGAAGAGGAGGGGAGGGTCTCTATTTCCTTCCTTCTAAGTGATGGTCCCCTGGGAGCAGGAGACTGGGTCCCAAGAAGGGGTATCCTGGCCAGACTGGAGTCTGCACTGGAGACAATGTTACTACTGTACTCGAGATTCACCTCTCCCTGCAGCAACCAGACCTCCAAGGTTCCCAGCAGCAACCCCAGGAGATCTTGCAAGGAGCCTAGGTCTCTGATTCACTGCAGGGAGTGTGGTGTGATTCACTTTCCTGCTGCTGCCAGGATGCAGGGAGTCCAGCCATTGTTCCTAGCTAGCTCCTCCTGGGTCACAGTGTGGAGCCAGTTCTATTGTAGTGAAGTCCCTCTGCCCTAGGCCCTGCCTCCCAAGGGCTCCACATCCATTAGGCATAGGCATGGCCAGTTTCTTCCCGCATTAAGGGGGCATAGTATACCGAGGCCACTGTACTGATGAGAAGACAGAAAGGTAATCAGATTCCGGGGGTGGGGAAGAGGGAAGACAAGGAAATATGGGTAGCACCTAGGGATGCTAATGGGTAACTGGTTAAACAGTTACCCGGTAAGCATTACCCTTAATGGGTAATGGTTAACTGGAACTCAGGAGCAGCCCTCTACCTGCGGCCCAGCTGTGGGTGGAAGGCTTGCTCCAGCTTAGCCGGGCTCCCCGCGTAGGGCTACCAGCTCTCAGCCCGCATGGGCTGGGAGACACAGTGGCAGTGGCAGCCTCCACAGGGGTGGGGGACCGAGAGCCACCCGAGAGGGTTCTAGGGATGTCAACATGCATCCCACTACACGATTAACCAATACGCATATAGGCATATTGGTTAATCTTATCAAATAATGCACTCCCCTCTCCCCTGATGCCTCGATATCAGAAGCAGTAAATGCAGGAGGGGGGGAGCAAAGGGAGCTGATGCCTGTGAGGAACTAGCTTTAAGCAGGCTCCCCACGAGCACCAGATCTGCCTGCCCACCCCACCCCCACGCTGCTACCTCTGATAGAGAGGAAGCAGTGTAGAGGTTGAGGGGGGCAGGCTGGAGCCGATATGCACGGGCAGCCGGCTTTGAAGCAGGCTTCCGATGCATGCCAGCTCTGCAGACCCAGGCAGGAGTCGGTACTGGGGAAAGCTATCTTAAAAGGCAGAGATTTATCCACGGCAGCAGACCCTGTCCATGGGGAGTCTGAGCTACCCGCAGACCGAGGCAGGGGACGGCG